ATCCTATGGGACCATAGTCTTGACCCTTTTGAGATTACCTCAAGAGCCAAAACCAGCGTCTCTAAATAAATACGTCCGTGATGGAAATCACTAATTTAAGCTGTTTGATGGATCCATCCAGTTTTACCATGCACCGTATAGCGAACCTTGCTCATGTGTCTGCCTTGTAGTCAACACAAAGAAGATTTCCCTATCAAGAAAATAGCGTAGACTTGACTGATATTTTAAAAAGTGTGTGCTGATTGAAACGGTTTTGACAATAGTCAGTTGATTTCACAATGCTTCTCAAATCCCCGTCACAGACCCACTACTCACATGGTCCTTACTGGACGGAGAGAGTGGCTAAGAAATATCTTCAAAATCTAATGACAATCTTGAAACCAATCCATGAGCCGTTCCAAATTTATCATGCTGCGTAAGAATAAGGAGATAATCTTTTGGCGTACCTCTTGACTTAGGTTTGAGACTAAACAAGTAAGAAGTATAATCGATTGTTCTACCAATCAAACATTCACGTTTCATCTCCTGTAACCATGAATCATTCCTTACACTCAATCTTCTGCTAGTTTTGACCATGTACGTGATCAAAACGACCCATTAAAATTGAGTTGGCAGGCATCTCCAACTCATGTTAGCCACCCCCACCCCACATGAACCACCATACTGCAGTCACCATCAGTACCACCAGGCTTGAACAACAGCAGGACACGACGGACCATTATCTACGAGATACTTTAAGCATCATCCTTATTGTGACATCCTAGCCATAGGTGGTCTTTCTTTACACTAAAGATAGCCTCAAGATTGCATTCCTTGAAACTCGTAAATAATAAGCTGACGCACACTTTTTGACTGTAGTCTAAAACCGTATACACCGGTTTACTTATAGTTACACTGCTGCTTCTCTCTCCTCCTGTAATCCCAATCGTTGTTTGCTGCAACCTCCACTGCACTGTATCCAATTACACATTCACTTCGATAAGCTCTGAAGATGCGATGAACAGCATGTCTTCAGCACAGCTCTTCGCACATGCTAGTCGTTGTCGTTGTGTGTGTTAGCTGCGTGTTGTTGTCGTGTGAGTGCTGTGTTGTGATGTGTGCAAGCTTCCTGGGTCTAGCTGTGCGTGGCCTGTGTTGTGTTGTGTGTGTGTGTGCTGTTTTTGTTGTATGTGAGATGTGGTGTTATGTTTGATGCTTGTAGTGCGGAGGGCAGCCCTGTGCTTTTGCCTAGAGGCAGACCACTGTTTATTTTCTCTTAGAGACCAGGAGGTGTTGTGACTGTCATTACTGTAGGTAGGTAACTAAAGGATACACACAGTCTCTCACACACTCCACCACACTACACACACACACACAGACACACTGGTTAGTTGATGTCTGTGTGTGCTTTGCTTTTTGGTGCCCTGAGATAATATGCAATATTCTACATGTGACAATAATAATTGTGCGTTCATCCTGCTGTGTTTTCTCCATTAAACCTAATTTGCTTGCTGTTGATGTTACGAGTGAAGTGGAAAGAGGAGGGAGGATAGAGCTGTATTTTTCAGAGAGGAGAGGAGAGGCAGGGGTAAAGAAGGAGGTGAGTATAGAGGAGAAGGCTTTCTCATTCATTTCATAGTGTTTGTTGAGGAACCTGTCGGTGGACTGGTAGGTTCCAAAAAGGTGAGACGAATAATAATGATAAACAATTTTAGGCCGAGAAGAACACAAAATATTTAATATATAAAGTAGACCTGGTGTGGATGTCATACTTTACGTGCACAAATTTAAAAATCAAAAGAGTTAGAAAGCCCAAGATGTATTCAGTAAAAGATTATATAGTGTACAGTATGTGTTTTAGTTTCTCTTTACAGTAAGACTGCCGTCATATTTTGGTGTTCTGCAAGTTTAGCCTCGTAATTTATCCTCTGACTTGTTGGCTCTTATTGTACTGTCACATTGCCTTAGCTTCTGATTTGGAGAAGGGATATAGGTAGGTTACTACTCATCTTAGCTGGTTCCATGCGTCTCCCATACTGTAAATCCTTTTGAGTTCTTATTCAGTATGCAATGGGTACAGATATACGTTGTATTTATAAAAACAGGTATAGAGAACTTGCATGTTATAGAAAATAACTGGGACATAGACCTAAACCTCAAAAATGAAAAGATATAAGACAACAAATACTCATAAATAACACCATAATGTTATGACTATACACAGATATAAAGAACATTTTTAAGTGTTTGTTTAATTTACAGTAATTGCAACTTCAGTGGAAACATTTTATATATTACAACTGTGTCTTGGACTATATTGTTTATGTTTATACAAGAGCCTCCAGTTTATGAGTGTCCACGGGAGAGGTAAGAGCTTGTCACAATTAAGTACATTAATAAACAATCTATATCTGTTATATCGGATGATTATTATCGCAAATTATATTATCTGGGGCCATGGTAATCAAGTAAAGTTCACCGCTGTTCACAAAACCTAGAAAGGCGGCACTGGGCATTTAAAATAGAATAGCTTTGTTAAAATTATTATAATTCCTCAATATGTAATGGGTTACTCAGTCCGGGTCTGGATAGGATGGCGCCTGGGTGCGGATCCGGACAATGGGTGTGCCGCACTATTATGACCTCTGGTCTACCCAGCCACACGGGCCAGCTCTGGTGTGTTGATGTGTACATGGGTCTTGACTCAGTTGTAAACAGATGAAGGGTTTCTGTAAAAGAAAACTGTCTGTTGAAGCTGTGCAGCAGACTTTGAAACTTAAACTGTCTTAAAGATTCAGCCATGCTAGCTGCATGCTCACACTGATAATGTTTATAAGTCCAATTTCAAGCAGGTATAATCTTTATCTATTGTTCACTCATTCTTCGTTTATCCTTGTTAACATTGTAACATTTACTTATTAGCACTAAACATTTGTTGCTGATTTCATTAGTTAGCAGTGTTAAACTGGAAATTTCTACTGATGTTTGGCACCATATCAATAAGTCAGCAGGATCACCAATGCTGTCCACCATGTATCCAGACTTCCATGGCAACCCATTCCCAATAGTCGGCTTTTCTGTTCTGAATCAGGGTCTTCACGGGCCTGGTGTAGTTAGAACCAGCCAGGAGGCACCAAGATTCCATTCAGGATTATGCCTCTGGGACCCTGGGTATTCTGTGCACAATTTAATGGAAATAGGAAAGTTTAGTGGGCCAACACTGCCTTCCCTAAAAACAAGTGGCAATTATTTCCATTATCTTTAATCACTTCCCGTTACCAGCCGTCACAGTCTTGACACATACACGCTCTAATTTCAGAGGGACATCATCTGTCTTTGTTTCTATCCTGCAGTCCAAATTAATTCCCAGTATAGGTTGGCATCTGGTCTGCTTGGTTATTGGTCTCGAATATTTTTAATGGTAAATTACTGTTACCAAAATAAACAGAGGAAACTGACAGAAGGTCGGAAGCATTTTTTTTTTTTTTCAGGGCATTAAAGTGTGTGGGTGTATGTGTGTCCGGTGCGTGTGTGTGTATAGTCGCTGCAGTTGTTGCGCGTCAGTAGCGTGTCTTGTCTGTGTGTGCCAGACTACAAACAGGCCCCCTCTGTGTGGAAGAGAGTGATTATCGATGGCGGAGCGTTGCGGAGAGTAGGAAGTGTTGAATCTGGAATGATTATGCCGCCACAGTGGCGATGGAGGGCTGGCCTGTAGTCTGCCTTGTGCAAGACGTGGATGATCTGCATGCAGAAACCCCCCCCCCCCTCCCCCATTCCCCACCAGCCCAAGCGCCCACCCATCCCCCACAGCCCCACCCTCCTCCTTCCCCCCTGGGTTCCAGCATCTGCCACGGACCACTTGGGCTCTCGCGTCCCAGCGAATCCCCTTTGTGCTGGTGTGTCACGTCTTCGAAGCGATCCGGCCTGTGATGTTGGCTGGCACCGCTGTCCTCGCCAGGCGGAAGACTAAGCGCATGCAGAAGCAGAAGCACTGTGACTGAGTCCGCATCTGGGTGTCGTCGCTCGCGACGCATCTACACAGAAGTGGATACTCAGGAGTGCGCATGTGCCAGTTGTCGTCCAGCGATAGGCGTCCAACTAGTGGTTAGGAAAGTGTAGAGACAGGAGCGAGAGAGATAGGAGGGGAGCAATTGCTTAACAGTGGTCAAGATATCAGCTTACGGACTATCCAATATTACACAACAATGAAGGCACGCTACGTCCATTATTTTTCTGAGTCTTGTTATGTTGTCTGCCATCTATTAGTTCTTCTTCCAGACTATCTGAGGCTGGCAGGCCTCCTGGGCTGGCGCACGAGGCACAAAAAACCAGGCTCGAGGGGATAGGACTTCATGCGAGGGAAACTGTTAGTGAGAACACAATTCAATATAAGAAGCAAAGACGGGAGAAAAGCAGACAGAGAGAGAGAAAGTTAAACCGATCTTGAGGAAAAGTGCTAAAAGTGAGCGCTGTGACACTCAAACAAAATCAGCAAGCATGATAGACACCTTTGGATGAATTTCACTACCCCTGAATTTTTCAAGGTGCAACAGTTGAAAACCAGGACTTTCGGCTGTGCGTCTTGAATTGAAATTTGAAATGGATTGCCGAGAGCCTTCACAAAAAAAAGTGTGATTTTCTAACAGTCATGTAAAGGTGAAAAAGAGGGAAAGAACATTTTTATTTTAAAAGCGTAAAGCACATTAACATTTGCTGAAACGTATGCGCCACTGTGGCTTAAGTTGAGAATTATCGGGCCATAATGGTAAATGGTAAATAAAACAGTAGGACAAACTATATTAGTAAGTAGTATAAAGCGTCTGCAAACTGACTAATCAACAACATAAAGTCAAGTTATCTCCAGTCAAAAGCCAAAATAAACGGTTAAATAAATTTTGTGGAGTGACTTGTCTTTCCTTAATTGTTAAAGTGTTTACTAAGGTACTGTGGTGTTCAAGTCCCCTTAAGATTTCCATTGTGATTCTTCTGTTGATAAATTATAAATTGAAGAGCCATCTCACCATGTAGCGGCAGTCCAGACTTCTTGGTCCGATTGTAAATACGAAATGCTTCCTCCAGCTCCATCTGAGACGAGATGGTACACGGGTCCCCTACACACATACAAACACAAACACATTTTCATCAATATCATCACTGCAACGATAAGTTGATAAAACGATTAGTTGTTCAATTGAAAATTTGCTGCTTTTAATTGTGTTAAGATTACTTAATTGGATCTCTCTCTTTCATACTACTTCATGTCATTGGTCATGGAAGCAAATTTGTGAGTGTGGACAGCTGGATATGAGGACTTGAAGTCATTCCAGTGTGCAGTGTGATGTGGCAGTGATGCTTTAGACTGGCCAGGAGCGCAGGAAATGGGCGTTGGGCCAGAGTTTAGCAGTAGCACATAAAGGGCACAGAAGATGCCTTCAGGACGAGACAGAGCACGCAGACTGATGTACAGAGTATGAGTGTGAGGCACACCCACCTTCATCATCGATCCACTTGAGCGTGATGGGCTGCTGCTTGGCAACGCTGCACATCGTTCTCACCTCCTCACACAACTCCACAAAGGTTACCGTGGCAGCCAAGTCTGTGATCAACATGTCCCTGAATGCACACACACAGAAAATGTCAAGATTGAGTCACTTTGTCTAAGTGAAGCAGAGATCAAGAGATCCCTCAGGGGGTTCAAGGAGTCAACAACAAAATGAGAAACTCTTCACCATTATTGAATTCAAAATAAACTTTTCCTGTGCTCTGATACTGCAGGTTACAGACAAGGAGGCTCACTCCTCAGTTATCGGTTGTTTAGTTCAGCTGTTATTTGACAAGGTATTTACAGAGTATTCGGATGCGCAGACAGGTTTGATAGAGAAAAGGATAGAGGAAACTGTTGGCTGGGTTTGTAGCACAGTTAATGGCATATTGACTGGAGGACACTCGGCACTGTCTGTTGTGCAGCATTTACTGTTGGCTCCAGTCAGTCTCAGCTGCTTACCAGCTTGCACTGAAGTTAACTGGAGCGTTCAGAATAGATTATGCAGGTGTTGAATGGTGCCATCCAGGCTTGGACAAATGGACAAAATTATAAGTGGTACTACTTATAATGATGAAGAGAGAGACAGTGGTACAGCTGGGCAATTAACCGAAAAAGTATCAAAATCTGCATTTAGAACCTCTCAACAATTTAATCTCGCTCATGTCGGTTTATTCAGTTAATACTTTCCACAATGCATGCGTCCATGAACTGTCCCCTCAAAAAAATACTACCTCATGTTCAGATACCTGCCTCCACCCAATCCGCGTTCAATTTATCCATTTAGTCCGCATTCACTCAGAGCAAAGTTGACGATATGAACGACACAAGCGCAAACACTGAGCCTCATGCTACATCCAAACAAATACATTTTAGTTTTAAAATGCATCCATTTTGAAAGAGTTATGTTTACACCTGCCGTTGTTAATGGTAAAACAGCTAGCATGCTAACTGCAGCTGGCGATGACAGTCCTTGTTCTGCTCTTGGTGTAGCGCCACAGCAGAACAAGAACCACTGTCACCAACTTTAGTCCAAGATGGTGGGAGTTGCGCAGAGTAGCAGCGAGCAGATCAATGTCCAAAAGAAGTGTCAAAGTGGCTGAAAGATTTGAATCACAACTTCCAGTCAGGACTTTCATCAGAATAAAATCGGGGGGGAAACAGGATTCGGATCATGATTCAGATTGTGGACTGTGATTCTACCCAAAAAGATTGTCATATGATCTTTTGGCCAGATCGCCCACCCCAAATATAAATAGTAGCAATAGTAAAAAGTAGTAACAAGTACAGTAGCAGTACAGGTTATAGCGGTAGTAGTTGTAACACTAGAAAGATCTGAATAGCTACAGTACTGCAATAACCTCTCCACAAAATGTACACATTCCACAATATTTTGTTCCCACTTTCTGTTCAGCTGCTTTAAGGGTAGATCCAGCATATGATGGCTAAGACAGGGTATTGGTAAAACAATTTTCATTACTTGTTCTGATAGAATAGCTGAGTTTCAGTACTGATACCAAATCAATACTTTTGAAAATTGATGCAAACTTTAGGGACCTGGCAGTTTTTTATACTCAGTGCTATGGACACATTCTGATTGGTACCAATTGGAACTGATGTTCAATATCCTGCCCTGCTCAAGACAGACTAGAGGTTTGTCTTCATTAACCAAGTGAAGGACGAGTTTAGGAGTCAAGGTAAGTAGCCACTGTGCTCTGGTTGTTACAATAAATCACAAATCATACAAAATCACCAGGAAGACAAAGTTTACCCAAACAAGTGAGAAGGCTTTATTGTTTATCTATTAAATATCATAAACAAAGACTTTGCATTAATAAGGTGTAAACTGAGCAGCAGGGACAGACACTGGTTTAAATCAGTGGCCATGAATGATTTGTTTGACCTGAAACTGAAAGAACAGAGTGGCTGAATTTCATATCAGAGCTGGCCTTCAAGTACCCTTATCAGTGTAGAGAAGTTGCGTGCATGTTCAGTTTCAACATCAACCCTCACTGCTCTGCTGCTGGCTGAATACGATACTGTGGGCCTTGTATTCACATACAACAGTGCAGCCACTCTGAATCGAGCTTATAATGGAGACAGGAGCCAAACACACCGATAGATACGTGTGTGTTTTATGCTGTAAACAAATATCATCACCTAAAACCTTTAAAAAGGAATAGGAGCTACAGTGACTGAGTCCATGTGCGTGTGTCTGACAGGTTTCTGGGTGTGTGTGGCCAAGTGTTTATGGCAAGTGTTTGTTGGACTCTGACAAGGTGGAGCAGAGACAGCTTGCTTCCCAGCAGGCATTGCTCCACACAGTCAACACCCACACAAGTCAATGTGGAATGACACACAACACACACACACACACACACACACACACACACACACACACACACACACAGAGAAAGAAGGGTTATGCCTATATATATATATATATATATATATATATATATATATATATACTGTATATGCTTGCCAATATTTCCTCATATTGGTCCAGTATTTGTCTTGTAATCAAATTAGATGTGGTTGAGTCAACTCTGATATGATGAATATGAGTATTAGAGATTATACTGTATAATTATTTTTAATTTTATCACTTATGCTTTTTATACTGTTCACATTTAATGAGTGCTACAATACCTTAAACCTTAAAGACACTTGTGAGACATTGTGATATAATTAAACATATACTGTATGGTGAGTAACATGGGTAGTCAAATATTTCTGTCACCTCTAGCTCAAATACTGGACAACCCACTGTGTATTGGTTCCTTGGTAGCACAAACTGTGTTACTGGGTTTCCACCTACAACAACTGCGCAACCCATCAAACAAACATCAGTCTGTTCCCCACAAGTTCTGAGGGTGAGGCTCTGTTAAAGGCTCTAACAGTTATGATAGTGGATGATTGTGGCATCTGTTGATATTTATCTGTGATTGTGGGGTATGTTCAGACTGCCCTCAGAAGACTTGGTATTACTGTTAGACTAAAGGAGTATTCTGTAATATTTACTGTCTGTCACTAGTATGTGCTAACTATGCTGGACGTCATCAAATAACCGACTAATCACTGCAGCTCTAAACGATACTAAAACTTTTTAGCAGACATTGAGGTCATCTTCTAGCCCTCTTGTCCTGATATGAATCAACATTTTGCAAGTGTTGGACTGAATTTTATTTAGTCAAAAGGTCTCGAACAGCTACTTGGCTCCTTTTGCTCAAAGAACATGTTTTGTAGAAAAGATTGAAACTCAGGTCGTACTTCTCAATCACAAAAATAGTTTAAAATGTGAGTTGTTGTATTTACTTTTTATACAGTGACCAGTAAGTAGAGAAATCAAATCTTGAAGTTACACCATTTGGCCTGCACTGTCTGCTCAGTATATGCAACTACAGTTTTTAACCAAAGATGTTGTGTACAGTCAGGTATTTACTGATGACCAACACTCTGACCTGAATGGTAAAAAGAGGTTGGATACATATTCAGCATACCAAGTCATTCAGGAGGGTTGTGTCTACAAATTATAGAAAAACTAACCAGATCTGCCTGAGTTTAATGGGGCCATATCACCCCCCCCCCCCCCCCCCCCCAGTCTCTGTGTACACACACACTCCCCTCTAAAAATATATTTGAGGATATAACCAAACTAAGAGCTACGAAGCAGTTCTGACCCAATTCAGAGTTTTCAGTAAGTTCTACATCAGTATACTGCTACCTGAGAAGCAGCAGTCCTCTGACACTCGTTAACACTGTGCATTACCCCCACCTACAAGCTCATTGGCAATCAACATGAATAAAATGATCAGATAAACAGGCCAACTGAAGCCCCCCCCCCGCGACCCTCAAGGATAAGCAAGTACAGCCAAAGGACGGACGGACAGACAGAGGGACGGACGGACGGACAAATTATAGAACATTCTCATTTTAAAACCTTTTCTCACAAAGTTTAAAACAGCTGAATACAACTCATCGCAATGTTATTTTGAGCTATGTGGTCCTTCATGCTAAGTAGATTAATAAACCATTGAACAAGGTGGCTTTTCATTCTCAGGCCACAATATTTTGGTCTGTTTAACCTTCTCTGATCTCTTGATTATGAGATGCCAGTGTACGCCAGGTCCAGTGTACTGTGGACCTTGTTACTGTTAATCCAGCAGGGATCTAGAAGGCATTCCACAACATCATTTTTTCATGCACTTATGCATGGCAGTGTCAACTAGCTAGTTCTGAGATGTTGATCCGCAGGATTAGATTATTATTTATATTTGATCAATTTTTAAATTTATCTATCAACTAACATGCCCAAAAAGTAGTACTACAAATAGAGTGGCTTCAGAAAGTATTCATACCCCTTCACTTTGTGAATGCTTTATGTTGTAGATTTAATTGAAAATGGATAAAATTCCCCAACTTCAAAATTATTGAAAATCAAAAAGTGAACTCTCATTTACAGAGGTATTCAGGTGCACCCACTCTGAATACTTTCTGAAGCCACTGTAAATCACCAGGCCACCATTATTGGCTGATATTAACATACCACACATATATAGTATCATATTATATCTGTATCCCAGGAGATAATAATATGAAGGTGTGGCCCCTCGCAGACATCGTAGACCACGCAGACCAAACCGAAATGAGACAGTCTGGCTGACGGATGATTCCTGCTTTGTGTCACCAGTTGCGCCCACCATTACCGTTGCATCACACCTAGCAACCATCACAACATTTAACTTTTTTCCACAAAAACTGGAGGTTTTAGGGCCCCTTGGTTTTTTTAACAGTTGTAACATTAGCTGTTCAACTAAGCTGAAACCCAGTGCTTACATTTAAAAGCATAATCATCGGGGACTACGCCAACTACCCCACTCACTATTATGTCTAGGCAGCTGGGCCCAAATTCTCAAATCAGTATCAAGTATTTTGATTATTTAGTTAGTTTCATGGCATTACATTATCGTGTCTGTCACTGTGATGTCTGGGCATTTTCCCATATTTATAAAATTTAATAAATTATTAACTGAGTAATCATAAATGATGGTAAGTTGCAGCCTTACAGATAACACTGAACCTCCCTAACCTACTGCCGGCCGTCTAGGATGCTTCATGTCCATGATACTCTGTTGTTGTTTGTATAGATTATGAGGTGCACAAAACCTGGTCTGACTGTTCGCCTCCTCTTGTTGTTATCCATATGTGATGGGAAGAACCCAAATTATATAAACATCGTTAAAAATGAAAATCCCATGAACAAAACATGCTGAAATTACACCAACACTGCATTTATTCAGAGAATTACTGTGATACAAGCACAAATCTGAAAAGCATAGGTATGAACATCAAGTGGAAAGGAACCCAGACAAATACAATCAATATTACAAGGGCTGTCTAACATGATGAGCCTTGAGGCCATGTGTAAAGCCCAGCCACCTGCATTGTTAACTGTGGAATGAGCAATGAAGCTCTCACTGATCTCAAGGTACACTTGGGCTTTTATAATGTAAAAAATCAGAAAAACCATCTACCAAGGATCCAGCCTACAACATGTCTTATAAGTTGGCAAGAAAACTTAAAACACCACAGGAAAGTGTGCTGTTGCTGCAGTGTGTATTATTATTTTCCAGACTGATAAAAATCTCTACTCTTGGAGTCTTTGGAGTTAAAGAACAATAGACTTATGTTGTTTGTCCAAGTTGAGCTTATTATGAAAGATGACATAATTTCATAGTTAAGACAAGAGATGAGGCAGCATAAAAAGAATCAGACCGACAGAGTGTTTAGACACTGTAGAGAGGTGCCATGATTTAAGTCCACAAAGAGGGCAGGCCAGTCCACTCAATAATATATGATCCAGTCACGAGCGACAGGTTTACAGTCACTAAATATTATGTTCAGTGATTCACAGTGAAGCTGAGGCAGAAACACTGGAAGGAGGAATAAGAATATAAACATAGTTGAGCTTCAAGGCTCTCCAATAAAGTTATTTTACTACTTTAACTAACATCATTGCATTTTTGTCATGGTTTGGAGCAAGGTTCTGTTGTCATTCAAGATGGTTGGTTGGTCCTCTCTATCGGGCAGACGTGACATGCATCAGTACCTATTCTTTTTTACAAAGCCCTTATTGGGAAATCACCATCTTACCTTACATCTCTCTTGATCAGATCAGTTGATACACACCAAACTGGGTCACATGACTAATTAAAGTCTAATTAGATAAAGATTAAATGTCTAATGTGGATTTAATGTCTAATTAGACATTTGGATCTAATGCTCCAGACACAATGAATCAACTACAGAGCACTTTAAAAAACAGACAGCCTTATAAATTATTCATATTTTAGAAACAATATTTTAAACCTTCCCAAAACAGAATGCAATGGTTATGTTTTAATCTTGGCATTTTATTTGTTTTAAATTTTCCTTGTGTGTTATTTTTATTACAGTTTTATAATGTTTATTGTTGTTTATTTGTTTAAATTGAAAAATGAAATTTTTTTTGGACCATCTGTTTAATGAATTGTTTTTATAATGTTTTTATGTACATTCGGGTCTCTCTTGAAAATGAGATTTCTACTTCAATGAGATTAACCTGAATAAATAAGGGTGAATATAAATATATTGGCTGTGCCTCAATCACAACAAAAAAGTTTCATTTCATCAACTCAAGCGAAAATTTGCATACATAACTCATACTAAAGCGAAAAATCAAAGATAATGGGTTAAAGAGCAGAAATGCACATAAACAGATATGAGTATGGGAAACAGTTAGATATGAGATGTCAATCAACTTGTTGATGCTACTGCAACCACATATCTTATGAGGCAGTAAAATAAAAATGAAGTAAAACATTCACTACAAGTATTAAATTTTCTTATCAAGGTGGAGAAGCCCTCAAAACATAACACAATTCAGCCAATTATTTTTATTTTCATTAATTATATTATACCTAGGTGGGTTTGACATTGCTCAGGTACACAGGAGGGATTGACCTAGCTTAAACCCAGGTACCTTGCTGAAAAGTCAAGCAGACGAGGCAACACATTGACCTGTAACATCACCACATATCTGAAGTCTCAAACCACAGGTGTTTCCCCTTGTCATCGTTACCTGCCAGCTGACTAGTGTCTACTTATTCCCTCCGGACAGCTACTTACCCACAGTAGTGTGCTTTAATTTTCACCAACTCCGTGTCCAGGTCCATTATGGATCCGTTTGACGCTAGCATATGCATTGTGCAGTTTGGTTTACCTCCCAACGAGCCAAACGTTAACGGGACAGGCCTGAACTCGCCGTATCACCCGGTCACGTCGAAAAAATAAAAGTTTACATAACACGAGCAGGAGTAACTTTTCATCCGACACTGTCGAAAGAAAACTTGTCGAGCTGCTTTAAAGTTTCTTTCGTAAAGACACCATAGAGGCTTTGCTGGCGGAGGAGTTGTCAAAGTGGTTCGTGTAACGTCACAATTTCCGGTTGTACGTTTCAAAATAAAAAACACTAACAAATGTAACGAATGTAATGAGGGTAGTACTTTTATTTTGAAATTAAAATCACCTCAGCCCTGATCGCGTGAAGGCAAACTCACTGGCTAACTTGACACAGTTTCTTGTCGCTCACTATGGTTACCGTAATCCAAATTCACCTGTTTTATGGGGCTTTTCGACTGCCCCAGTAAAAGAAGTCCAGTATTCATGTACGGATGTGTAGACAGTGTATGGTAGTGAATTATTAACATATTGAAAGTTGAATAATGGTATTTTTCCTCTGTAGTTTCCCTTCTGCCACAGTTGGTCTGCCTCACGTATGAATACTTAATTAAACCTTCTTCGTGGTATGTCCTTGTCATAATCCAGCATTAGACGTAGTCTCTTTCATTCCCTTAAAGAATTAACTGTTAATGTCCACAAGATTTTGTATTAATGTATTTTTTAATTGTTTTTATTTTTTATTTTTTGTGATTTAAGATCATTTTTAGTTAGTAAAGTTTTCACGTGTGATGCAAGAGATTTATCAGAGGAAAGGCCCGTGAAGAACAACTCAACCAAAGCTAACAGAATAAACATATTTCATTGATACAAGGTGGCTATAGCCTCAACCATAATGCAGTTGTTGAGCGCCACCTGCTGGTTAATTAGTAAACGACTTCAAGAAGACATTATGGGGATGAAGTGTGCAAATTGGGTTGGATTTAAAACAAATCCCAAAAAATCATTTTAATTCATCTTTTCAGTAAAAAAAAAAAAATGGCAATAAAAACTAGCTAATATTGCACTACATGCAGAGGTGGACAAAGCACAACTCCATTACTCCGTTAATGTAGATACTTTTGGTCAAATATTACTCCAATACAAGTGAATTTTTCAGTCAAATGTTTACATGAGTTAAAGTAACTTGCTGCTGTTAACTTGCTTTTAAAAAAAAAGTATACTTTCTTATGTCTTATGTTTCTTATGCATTTACAGAACCTAATGACTCAGATACAACCTACTGAATGACTGACTTACTGAACCTGTAGAATGAAACGCTTGTAGATTATGCTACAAAGCCTGTAGAAATGGCGATAAAAACACAACTGAATCAACAAATGAACAGCCAAGTACCACAAGCTGTCTGTTTAAAAGTCTGGAATTAAACAAACGTTGCATATCTCGACATGCTTTCTCAAGTTGCACTGCAAATTTTTGGGGGCAGTGTTGAAGGTTGGCCGTGGTAAATTCAGCATTTAACATTAAAAACAAAATGAATCTTTCTATTTTTCTAAAACATCAGACATGGACTTAAGATAAGGCCGTGGTGCTCTAGTGAACAATCCTCAGCCTCTTCTTTATCTAATGTATAGCCATCGTAAGGACACTGCCAGGTTCAAACTGAACTGTTCAAAAAAGCAGCAGCACAACATGACTAACAGTGTAGGAGTTGGCTGGGATTGTTTTGTCTCCTGTGATGAACACAGCGTATGGAGGCTCATCAGCCTCCTGTGCTCAGAAATATGGAGGAAGAAAAAGATGTCACGTGGACTTCAGGTTTGTATGACGACAGAAATGAAGACATGGATAGGCTGACCCATGCAGGGTCATTAAAACATTCCCTTGACTATAAAGCCATAAAAGAATCTCAACCTCTACTCTATGTCCATAATGGGATAATACCTGGGGCTGAGGTGTTTCAGGTCTGTTTGCCATTCTGCAGATAAGATAAAGGAAAAGTTAGCATGGCTCCATTAAGCGGCTGTGCACGGCCCTCCACTGACCCCTCTTTGCCTTACTCTCATTCATTATTTTAACACCAAAACAAAATATGTGGGCAGTGATTCAGAAGTCTAAACTTTATTTACTGAAGTTTAACATTTAGTGGCCCATATTCAAACAAGTTCCCAATTGGTTTGTGTTAACTTCAGCAATAACTGTGCTGTGAAGATTTGGGGCCCTTGGGGGTCTGGGCCCTATATAGACAACCTGATGAGCCCAAGAGGAATTTAGCCTCAAAAATAAGTATTTAGTTCACCTTAACTCTAAAGTGACCACAGTCACAGTCTATCTAGCTAGACCTCACACCATTTGAACACTGACCTCGAGCCCATACACAGACAGTCTGTCAAACCCTTTGACCCAGTAGGTGTTAGCTAAAGCTACATTAAGCTTGCATGGCCAGATACCAGGCAAATTTATCTGGAATACTGTTTTACTTTAAACTAGCTCATTAAGCAGGAGACATACAGTAGGTCCAGTGCCTTTTCAGTGAGCTAAGTAGGTTAACCAGAGGGGGGAACATGCTTGGTTGGTATAAGCCCCAACAATAACACATCATCATTTAACAATTTGACAATAAAATGCACAAATGACCTGAAATCAGCTGAAATCGTGACTCATGATTTTTCGGCATATCATTCAGCTCTAATGGTCTTTTAGGGTTGAAGGAAAATCATCACTGTGGTGTTATGTTTGTGATTCCGGGACAAAGATGACATGACAAGTAACAGGTTACAACAGCCTTTTATTGGTTTGGTTTGTAATAGTTGGGCGGCCCTGTAGGCACCGCAGCTTTTCTACAGGTAGGTGTGTATAGGATCTCAAGAAAAGACAAAGATAATATATGGTCAATGAATTTGTTTTACCTGTGTACAATAGTTTAGTTTAGTTTATTTAGTTTATTTCGAACATGTGCGATTAACACAACAGAGTAAACTGAAAAAAACAAACAAATCCAATAACAATAGTCAAAACAAAAATAATAATGTGAACCCAACATGTCCGAAAAGGAGCAGGATGAAGCATATGCTTATTTAAACCTACCCCTTCTCCACTACTCAATTATCAATCTTTCTCCCCAAACATATATATTTACATAAAAAAGAAAATAGATTAAATAAACAAATACATAAATCATTTGTCATTTATGAAAACACTCGATAATTAAAGCCCTTCTTCCTCCCTGTACCTCGTGAAAACCATGTGTTTGTACCGCTTTTTAAACTGGATCATGCTTGGACATTGCTTGAGCTCCACACCCAGTCTGTTCCACAGCCTCACTCCACAAACTGACAGACAAAAACTTTTTAGTGTTGTACGTGCCCGCTGATGTTTTAAGTTAAACTCACCCCTCAGATTATAACCCCCAACTCTGTAAAAAAAACAATTTTTGAATATTTCCAGGAAGTAGATTGTTTATTGCTTTGTACATAATTTGTGCTGTTTGGAAATGAACCAGGTCAGTGAATTTTAATATTTTTGATTTTAAGAATAGTGAATTTGTGTGATCTCTATAGCCGGTATTATGAATTATTCTTATGGCTCTTTTCTGCAGTATGGATAGAGATTGTATTGTACATTTATAAGTATTGCCCCAAACCTCTGCACAGTATATACAATACATTCCCATGTTGCATCAGTGACCTTTTGACCCTTTTGTTTCACATTTGATTTTGATTATGGACAAATTGTCACTGCAGAGGTTGAACTGTTCGGGATTAAAGGAAAAAATGCCTGTAATTCATCAGTTGTTATTTGTCCGTCTGAAATTCAAATCTAGTTATGTAGAGGCAGACATTAGAAATCGATTTGTGTAGCACTATTCATAAATACAATGTAACACAAAATGCTTTACAGAATAGCAAAGCTAAGATAAACATAGAACAATAAAGACAAAATAATAAAATATTACATATTAAAGCACTGGACATATATTCTGGTGAATCAAACCATAAATGAAAAGTAAGATATTAAAAATCACATAAAAAAGGCAAAGTAGTGAATATAAAATTATAAAATGCTAAAAGTGAGAAGATGTTTGGAAGAGAATAAAACCAAAAATAAAAGTAGAAATGAAATAAATGAAAGTAAGGTATTCAAAGGAAACAGTCCAGAAAATAATCATAGAAATATTATGTAGGGTAGCAAAGAAAACACCAATCTCTGGTCACAAGCCGAACAAGTGTTTCTGACAAACACAATAAAAGAGGTGTAAACAAAAAGGAATGATTTCTTGATGCAGCGCCGCAGACGACATCGTTACTCGGGCCTCCTTCTTTGACCTTCACCCGGGTTTCTGAGCAACTGTTGGACAAGAGAAGTGAAAGACTGCTTTAGTTCTTTGTTATGGAATCCCAGTGGAAACTCATTTCAACTGACTAAAAACATACAAAGAAATGTTGCACTGATGTAAAAATAAATCTATGTAAATTAATCAATAAAAAAATTTACAATGGAGGAAGAAATGGAGGAAAAAAATCTTGAGAAGATTTCACAAACTGAATTGATTATTTTATTCAAATAAAGCCGTAATCACTGCAAGTAATATTTTGAGGAAAAATTTGTTGTACTGTCTTTTGAGATAAAGTTGTTATTTTATAAGTCACTCTTTTACAAAGATGCGTCAGGTGGACGATCTATTAACTTGTAGCATTTGAACATTAATTTCGTGGCAACAAAACAAGCTGCAAGTTTTCATTCTATCTAACAGTTACAAATTATGGTGTCTTCATTTTTTATTATCACTTTAGGATATTCTTCCTTGTGAACGACTCAACTCTCACTTTCTTATGACTGGTATAAAGGTCTGTCAATGAAAAGTACTGTTTACAATATTAAACACATTCTGGCTGCCTTTCATATTATTACCAGAGTCCACTCACGTTCAAAATATGTCCCATTATAGACTCACACATCATGTAGCTGATTTCATTTCAATATCCTAAAATCTACGATAACAAGATGCTGAATTTTGAGAGTCATCAGCTGTTATTTGACACGTAAAAGCTCACGGACGGCTCTCACACAGTTGCCCAGTTACTAAAACATCTTGTAATACTTAATCAACCATCAATAATACTTGATCAACTTAATTCTCGCAACAGTAAAATTTACAAATATTTCAACTTTGTTCTCAAGATTAATTTCTTTAGTTACTCCCCCTCTTAAACAAATGAAATGAGTATCACACTGACTTTTTGTAGAAAACATACAGCACAGCAAACTACCAATAATGGTGAATGATGTCCATAGAATCCGCTACAACACTAATCATAATCATAATCAGGTCACACTATCAGAGCGTGATATACTGTATGCTTTTAGAGTCATTCTTTAATAAGCAGTGACCTACATTGTCCACGCTGTGCAGTTCACACCATCCTGTGAAAAATAGCCTGGCTGACAGTCTTCACACACTGTATCAGTTCTGCTGGTTCCTTTGAGAAAGATACAAAACTCAGGTTCATTACACAACAACCCAACATCCAGTGAAAATCCATCATTTATCAGACCGGGAAAATCAGAGGCTTCACTGTCAGACTAGTCACACTTTCATTTTTCTTACCAGGTTCTTTTATCCTCTGACCAGGTGCACAGTGTGTGTGTTTCTCTGCCAAACTACATCCTGTATCGTTGGCCAGACTCCTGCAGAAATACCCACTTAAATACTTTGGAAAACATCACAAAACTGTGTCGGGTTGTTACTCGTACACTTCTGATGGGCAAAGACACCATGAAGCTTAAAAAAAAACAAGTAAACGATCATATTGTCAATTATGTTTGATGTTTAAAAACTAGGATCAGGGTTTTCTCAAAACTTTTTAAGACAATGTTCAAGGTGCTCAGTTCTACAGAGAAGTGCAGCAAGCCTGTATTCACACCCCCCACACTGAGCCTTACTAGAAACATAGCGATGATGGTATGTTAAGAAATTTACTCTCTAACCCACAAGGGGTCACCTGTGGATCCACTGTCGTGGCCTGCGGATCACTCTTTGTGAAAGACTGCATTTAGATAATTATCTTTATTAAAACATACAGCAATTGATTTGCCTTCTAATTAAAGAACATACTTTTAATTAGTTAAATATCTTAATTTTACTAAAGACCTTTCATCTGGCTGTACCTGCGGACACAGGAGGTGCAGGGGGAAAACACTTATTCAGGCAATTGGGTTGATTCATGAAAGTCCCATTGTTTACAGGAGAGGCAATTGGCAACGTGTGCCTGACTCGTGGTGTACGAGTCGCGTTCTGTCAGAACACAATGCTGTACCTGTCATAGACGAAATAACATTCACGTCATGAATATTGTCAAGTTATGTTCATCTCATAAGATACAGGCGCCTGTACGCATGAGTGATGTGAGTAAGTGGTTATCACATCTAACTTTTGCCTGATCACTATTTTCATATATCAGGAAAGCCTTTTGTCCTTCTTGTTTTTGTCTTGGAGTCTGATGGAGTGGATGGAGCGCCTGCCTGCTCAATATCTGGCTCAGCATGGATGGTGAGTAAGTTGTATTTTTTATTCTTTTAATAAATTGAAAAGACTATGTCCAGTTTCAAATCTAAAACCTAACCTAAAAACCTACATAATAAGGAGTTGCATGTATGTGTGCAATGTAGAGTGGTGGGCAGTACTATGGAACATTTTGCAAAAAGAGTGAAGCTAAAACTGTTTAAACTTCGTTTCACCTATACAGTAAAGAATCTACTTAAACAGTAAAATGTTGCTACTGTTATGCTGTGTATGTTGGTGGAGCTGGTAAACATCTGAACTGTGAACCCCAACTACACAGGGATTTTTGTAAGACATCAGAAGGGCCAAAAAGATTGTAAAACCACTGGTTTCCCACTTCAATGTGCTGTATTAGTATCAAGCTTTGTATATTTATGAACTGTGAGAAATCTTCATCCTTAAAGTCAATCTACAAACTAAAACTGCTTAAGTACAGTAGCTGTGAGTAAATGTAGCTTAGTTTACTTTCCCCCGCATGGTCTTTCAGACCACTGTGTATGCTGTCTAGTAGTGCTACAAAAACATTTTTTGTGTAATGTTGTAAAAACCAGTTCAGAAATTGACACAACGAAAGCAGAAGAAAATGGGCCCAAAAAGACTGTTTAGTTTATCAAAATATTGGACAGCTTCTATTTAAAGGGACTTGAGTAATAAGCAAAGGCCGGGGAGCTGGCTGGTGTGAATCAACTTGAAAAGGTACAATGCTGTACATTCAATGGTGCCATTTTTTACATGTCTGCATCCTCGCTGGAATTACTATATGCGATCATTTTCACACTCAATTTACCAACATGTGCAAGAATGGAGGCATTATGGTAAACCCAGCAAGTACGAACGTGTGAGGAGAAGATGGAGATGATGTGCAATCCCGAAGCAGATGTGAGCTTGGCAGTAAAAAGGAAGCGGCAATAGTAAAGAGACTTTGAAACTAAAAACGTGTTACTTTTGGTTAGGTTGGTTGTGCAGTCTGCACACTATGGCAATCACAGGTTCATAGTTTCAGCGTTTCTTGTTAATGGTGCGTTCATTTTTAGGCTGTTCTGGCCTGTGAACTGCTTCAGTGGGTTATAAAATAATATAGTTTCCCTCTTTGTTCTATTGAAGAGTTGCTTAGGTTGATTGTTTAAATGAAAAGAAAAGTGCGCCTGACAGAGACAGGCCTTTTTGTCGTCCTGTGCTACAATTACTGCTGGCATGACCAGGCCTGAACTGATAATGATTTCCATACTGCATCACTTGCAAGCGTGTGTTGAATTAATCTGAAATACCGACAGCTAAAGACTCGAGTCCGATAATTCCGACGGCACCTGAAGCAGCCTACAACTTATTAACTCCAGTTTCCAGAAGTTTATTTTATTTTCATCAGCTGTGACAGGAACAACAAATGTTATAAGTATACAAACAGAAAACGAGACAACAGGCTCAATAACTTAGTCTGCAATCCTGTCTCATGACATTTAAGCTTTATCTGCACGAAGCGTTTATGACGTAAGCAAGTCATGTGGTCTTATTATATAAAGGGACAAAGATGATTACATGAGAATGGTACGTTATGTTGTGGAGGACAGCAAAGGGTTTAGTTTTGTGCGAAGTCGGTCATCGTTTTATTATCTGCCCTCACGAAGTGTCTGTCCTTCAGAAGTGGTTTGAGGGGGATATCGGGATTTGGATTGTAGAGTATGATGATAAACAAACGTGAGAGGATGATTGGCATGTAGTCAACATCATAGTGCGTGGCATCAGAGTCATTGTTCCCTACGAAGCGTGGGGTCCGATGCTCTCAGGCTCACAGTCACAATAATTGGGAGACTTTGCGTAGGTTTCGTTATTGAACCTGTTCACGAGTTTCCTACCGTTGGGTGACACGCATAGGACAAGGCGACGTGTCCGGGTGCTTCGCGTTCCGTGTACTCCCTGCGTCGACAGCATAATCCTGGTACCAGGGGTGAAATACAAGCCACATACCTTGTTGAAAACACAGGTGTTGAAGTCATGCTGGTCATTCACGCAGTATGTCGATGTCAAGCATCATATAGCAACATCACATAGTGGCTATACGCTAGAGGTAGCGTTCACATGTCGTATGACGTATCTACAGTCGATTGAAATGTGAGACATCTTGTCGTCGTTGAGCTAGATTTACCCGAGGTAAAAGAGACTCGTAGCAGAGCGGTCGACGTGTTAATGCCGTACGAGCAAACACATCTGCTTCTACAGGTTCTGGGACAAATTAGTTCACAGATCTTTACACAAACTGCTCAGCAACAGGATTCACTATTGTTTCTAACAAGGAGAAAGAAAAGAATGCCTGTTTTTTTTTTTTTTTTTTTTATTTTTAACAAACCTTTAATCCATTCATTTGCTTTTTAAGGTAAATCAAACAACGCGCTGTAAGTAAGATAAACATGTTTAAGTTGCACAGATAAACATTCACAAAGGTAATACAGAGGATACATATAACACATAATAAAAAAGCACAGATCTAATTAAAGGGCAATCGAAGATTTTTAAAGATTTTTAAATAGGGCAGAAGCTGTTCGTGTTGGTTTTTCTTTTAGATGCGTGTTTAAATTGATTTTGATTATTAATTAATTAATTCAAACTTTAAAACAATAAAGCATGGTTTCTAACTGTAAATGTTACGATTATGATATAGAATTGACCATTATAATAAGATTCATCATGTACACCAGGTTTGTCAGTGTTTTTATTTTCGAGGTAAACAAAATAATAGCATTCTTCTTACAGTAAAATAAAACTTTCATCAATATTTTCATTAATGAAAGTTCAGACGTTTCCCAGAAAATTCTCTACAATTGGGCAATAAAAACAAGATTAACATGGACAACAGTTTTGGATTGTCCATAACAAAAGCTAGGAATTCACTCAGGGTCACGATCCAGTGCTTTCTCGACACCGAATATTCATTTACAAATTTTCTCACGTCACATCACTCACTTCTCTCACACTCGCATCTCTCTCTCGTCTCTCTTCTCACTCACTTCACATCACTCACGTCACTCTCACTCAGCTTCACTCACTCATCACTGCACGACACACACAACAGTTCACACTACACACACACACACGACACAACAGCACACACACACGACACACACAACACACACACACAGTGGTACCACGCACACACACACACAACACACAGCACACTACACTACACAGAGGAGGTGTTGAAGAATTCTTACTTTATATGTGTGAACGGTATCTAACGTATTAATGTGGAGATTTTGCTCTCTGTGTACTGTTTTCTAGTTTCTGATACATTGTAAACTAAAACACGTTCACTGCTGAAGCAGCATCAACGCAGCAGTGCTCTTTGACGCCATGGCATGTGTGGGTTTTTTATTAAGGCCTGCAGAACTTCTTCTGAGAAATCAAAGAGACTGTTTACTTTTGCGCTGGGTTCCGATGTAATTTACAGGCAACTGACAGAACTTAACTGTCTTTATTAAGGAGACTGTATTATCTCATTATCCGTCTTAGTAAAAAATAGGTAGTATCAAAGTAGGCTAGATGTTATCGGGTTCAATAAACCCTGTACAGAGTTAAAATAGAATTATAGTATATGAATAGCTATTATATAATGATTGTTAATTGTGTTGTTTACTATGAAAGCTGTATATACGAGTGATGATACACTGAGCGGTGAGAAAACAGAGGACATTGAGATACAAACCAAAGTGGTCTGGTGTAGCAACGAGACGCTCGTATCGTGTGAAAAGCAGTAATGATGGACAACTATCTCTTTTAAGAGGCACTGAGGAAGAGCAATGAGTTGCTGCGTGTGTGTTACGTGTAAGTGATGCCTGTGATGTGCCGAGTCATTCGAGGACTACAACATCAATGCCTACTACATTTGGGAACATATCCACCTGCGTTTTGTATCGTATGGTTCATGAGACATTATGAATTTGGTCCCAGTCATTATGTACACAGACCCTCTTCATAAGGATCCATAAGGATGTGTCCTGAGTCAAAAGGTCCACTCACTCCTCCAGCAGTTGATGCTTCTTTTGAGGCTCCAGTCCGGAAGTAAAGTACAAACTGTTTTATTCCATTCATCAAATGTCCAAATTAAAACGTACTACTGTTGAAGATAAATGTTTTATGAATTAGGACTGAAAAAAAATTATTGCCGCTAGAAGCTGGGTTCGCGGACAGCACGGCCATGTTTGTCCCATGATGCTGCAGTAAGGAACACTGTGCTCTGTTCCTAGCTGTTTGTGTCCATATTTGATTGATCGGAGGACTAAAGTCCAGTTTCTGCTGATGCATTCTGTGAGGCTCTGTCCACCAGGTAGAATTCATCAGTAAAGTCTGTAGTCGCATTAAAGTCCTTCAGGATGTGCAGAGTGTGGCTGCGTGTGTGTGGTCTGGTCTGCGCTCACGTGGCCAATCACAATGATGTAATCAACTAGCTGTCACGTGTGACACAGATGTGTGTCACATATGGATTATAGTATATGTAAATCGTTATAGTTATACATAATATAAGTTTCAATATCCCAAAGCTGATCATGATGCAGACTGTAGACTCGAGTCAGCTCTGTAGCACGGGTGGC